GATCAGGTCAGTAGTATTTGCAGCAATATTTTGTAGACCTTACATAAAATACTCCATTTATTTGTGGATTTCTCAAAATAGTCTACTTTTGTAAGAAAAAGTAGTTTTTGTTATAAATTAATAAAAAACAAAGTATAGAATCAATTGCAACCAAAAATAGTCTGTTTTGAGGGTATATTTGCAAAAATAGTGTGTATGTCGTCGACAACGAAAGCCTTCATAATATACAACAATGACTTCTATGTATGGCATCGACTATAGGGTGGGTGCGGATCGTGTACTCTATTCGCAGCGGCAGGACTGGTGGAGACCTATTGGGCCCGATTGGGACACGGAGTCCAACCCCTGAGTCCGCAACAGATGATCGACTGCTATCCCGACCCCGACCACAACGTGTGCGAAAGTGGCGCCGCCTTTGAGCCCATTTACGACTATGTGAGGGATAAGGGACTCACATCTTGGGACGAGTATCCCTACCAGGCCAAGGTTTGCCATTAATATATATCTCATAAATGATCCATGTTCTAAGTTCGAATTAATAAGTTAAAAGTCAAAGTGACCCAGATATAATAGACACATAATAATAAGGAACTAACAAATAAAATAATGATTTGTTTTAAACCATAGAAAAATGGGTGCGATAGGGACCGGGAGGGCCGGACTGTGGCCCGAATAAACGGGTGGAATTGGGTGGCGGGCGGTGGCGATGAGGGGGCCCTTCATTTGGCGGTTCAAGATCACGGCCCGTCCGCTATAGCCATACACGCGTCCGACTCGTGGGCCAGTTATCGTCAGGGCATATACGACGGCCCCTGCGATGGGGACGTCAATCACGCGGTACTTGTGGTGGGCTATGGCTATGATAACGCCTGGGATCAGAACTTTTGGATCGTTAAGAACTCGTGGGGAGAGGGCTATGGAGACCACGGATACGTCTATATGCGTAAGGATGGCGGCAATAAGTGCAGGGTTGCCGATCATTGTGTCCAGGTGTCTTAATACTAATTAAGTTTGCTCAATTAAGACATATTTTATACTTTTTTAATGTTGCAAAAAGTTTCAACAATAAAATATGTTTTTTTTGAATGAAATCTAATTGAGTAATAAATGTATTATTTATTAAATTAGCTTAAGCTAGCATAAATTAACATTAGTAGTTATAACTGTCTGTTTGTCCCCAATAATCGACAATAAGGTATCAAAACTAATTTGTTTTATTTTTTCAAATTATGTTTTAGTAAATAAAAAATATTAATATTTAAACTATAAATCTAAAGTGGTCATAATAAAATAATATTTATTTCGATGCCACTGATAAATCGCCACAGTCCTCTACTGGTTCCCAATTATTATAATCGTGCGTATATGTATGCTTAAAGTATTTTTGAGTTTTACATTTTAATATGGTCCAGCAAATATTTCCATTTCGACATTCAATATGATGAGCTTTGGGACTTGATTTACCTTGGTGAAAACCATCTTCGGTGCCATAATACTCTATCCACGAATTACATTCTTGGTCATTACAGACATATTCTGTGTCACAATTTAGCCACATTTGTTTGCATTCGGTTTTAGGTCCACCATCGTCTTTATTATCGTCCAATGGTATTAAATCTGAATGTGAATCAAATATGTATGTACAAATAAAATATAAACTATGCTTTTAAAACTTTAAATTTAAAGTTTTAGTTATTAATGATAATAATTATCAATTTAATTATAATTTTTAAATAAATTTGGTTATATATAAAAAATTAGTAGTTATTTAATGAACTATTAACTTTAACCTAGGTAATACTTATAGATAAATAAGTTATTATGTGTATTAAATAGAAAATGGTGATTTCAAATGTATAACTACAATACAATAGTACAAATTAAAATGATAATAAAATTAATAATTATTTAGTAAACCATACTGTATTGTCCATTGGCCACGGTAGCCACCAAAACGGATAAGCCAATGATGAGTAGCGAGTTCATTTTGTGATATAACTCTGTAGATCCCTCTATAGAAAAAAAGTGATATTTTGTGTGGTTTTACACAAAACTCAATACGAAATGAAACACAGAATGAATGCTTTGCACAAAACTTGCGGTAATTTAATTAATACAGTATAGGTGTAGTAGCCAGGCTATCAAGCCCTGGGTAATTAATATATTTAATTTATTTTATTTTAATTATGTTGTTTATAATTTCAAATTATAATTTGAGTATTACATATGTTTGTATACTATTTACTATTGAATTTTATATTTGTTATATTGATTTAAATAATAGTAAGTATATGTAATTTGTAAACTAATTTTATGACACTCCTGGGTGGGGTGGTCATACTTTACAAAACCGTATGGGACAGTTAGCACACGTCAATTAATACATGTACTGATTAAATTTATTTTTACTATAATTTTGGTATTTTGAAATGTTACTTATTAGGCAATAAAGTATTTTATAATTTAGCAACAACTATTTATAAATGTTATTGTCTAAATTAAATTAGATATCTTATTTTATCCTAGTTGATAAACCTACTTGGATCAATTTTAAAATATTGTTTTCTATTTATTTATTAAAAACTGCAATATATTATTCTTATATTTATATATTTTAGTTACAATTTTTTGTTAAGTGTAGTTAACATTCAATATGTTTTCAAGTAATTTTGTTGTTGCTTTTATGTAAAATACTAAATTATCATTGTAAATTGTATTTAATATAAAATTTTATTTTTTTTAATGTTTAATATTTACATCGATAAAGGTTCAGACTCATATAATTATACATTGCCATTGCTTAAAAGTAATACATACTAAAAGCTAATATTTATATTCAAAAATAACTATTCATTTATATATCATAACATTAATAATAACATTAGTCTGGAAAGGGATGTATATGAGGGTTGGCGGGTTTTACGGCCTAACTAGACAAACTGACCCCACGGTCAATCAGTTGGGTCAGGTATCCCCATACCTTTAGTATTTTCGTAATCGGGTTTCCTATGTTATGGTCTACCTGTTCCACAATAGCCTCCTTTTCCACATTCAAAGTCACAAAAAAACATTTTCATATGTTTTAATTTAATAAAAATAAATTGTCTTTACTTAATTTTTATATCTTAAATAGAAAATAGCCATAAGTTGTATACCCTGATCATAAAAGTGCGAATAAACACCTAAAACAACTCGAAACGTCATGCAAAAGATATTTAATTTTGTAATTGATATTTAGTTAATAAAATATTTTTGTTTGCCAAAACAAAATACACATTAAAATATCTATAAGTTATAGACTATAACCATTATAAGCTTTAAATATAGTGTTTTAAATCTTGTATTATGTTGTTTTATTATTACAAAATCAATTTCTCTTGAGACATATATGATATACTGTTTCTTATATTAAAAACATTTCAATGACAATTAGCATGCACTGCTTTAATTATATTTGCCACAATGTATATAAATAAACTAAACGTGTACCAGTATACATAAGTACAGGAGTACTTTTCATTTAAATTTAATAATAAGTATTTTATGATAAGTTTGAAAATTAAATAGCATTGCTATAAAAGTCCATGTTAGCAACAATTAGTTTTTAAAAATACTTAATAATATACAAACCTAAGTTAGTGTTACTTTATTAATATTTATATTTGTATTAATAATACTGCTAAATTGTATACTAATAACAAAATGAGCAAGCTTGCACACAAAACGAGGACTTATTCCCTTACCCCTGATAAACCTGCGAACGATTATAAGATTATAAGATATAAATTATGATAACTTTTTAGTTTTAGCCATACATAATTTATATATCGCAGATAATTAATAACTTTTATTATGAGAAAATAATAATTTTCCAAAAATAAATGATATATTATTTCTTATAATTTTATTAATAGCATTTAATTGATAATTAGCGTGTAAAATGATATTTTTATTTTCAACAATGTATATCAGTGCAATGTATATAAATAGGCCATGCATAAATATAAATAGTACATTTCGGTCATAAGTATATTGTGTTAAGTTTAAAAAGTTTATAATAAAAGTCTTTATTAGCAAAAAATAGTTTTGCGTAAATACCTAAAATAACAACTAAACTAATCTAGTTTTATTTACCTAATATTTATATTGGTAATAATATTAATAATACTGATAAATTGTATTCTAATAATAAAATGAGCGAGCTAGCACACAAATCTCAGGCTCAGACCGTTACCATGGTAAAGCCTAGAAACATATTGGTCTTAATTCACTTATATTTCGCTAGACTATTCTACCATGCTGATGTCATCAACAAGTGGTATGAGCCGGCTACATGTGTCACTAAATTTGAACACTACTCCAAAATCAGTTATTTCTCGATCTGCAATGATATCGATGAATATGAATCCGGATACAAAAGTAAATGGCGCCTTTTCTGGATCGCTATATCCTTGCTCATACTCTGGATTCAAAGTGCCAGGTGCACAATGATAGCCATATGGGTTGATAATTTATGGATCAGGTACATGCTATGCGATCCGACCTATATATTGGGAAACACGCGCTTAATATGCACGTTCATGGTCGTAGTGATTGCAACAGTGTCCCTGCTGAAAATATGCGGTAACTACTATGAATGGTTAAACAAATTTGAATTCATCAATTTACTAAACGATTTTAAATATAATAGGTAAGAGATGTTAAATTATAACACTTTATAGTAGATTAATTTGTTGTAATTGATATAGTACATTTATTTTTAATTTTATTTTAAATCCCTATAAATAGAATTGGCTTGATTAGCAGGCACAACATACAAAAATTGTCGATTTACGGAAATATATATTTTCATCTATACTTTAGTCCATTAATATTTTGTTGTATGTCGGTGCTATCATATCTGATTAATATGCCCGTTATAATCGCGTATTTTAAAAATGAAACCCACGCACCAATTATGGCAATCATTTTGTGGGACATTTTGGCTACTATCGGGTTTTATGTGAATGAATTTATTTTATGTCTAGGTAGCTTTATGATAATTTCCGTCGCTTTATACATAAAGTACAGTTTCGATGAAATCAATGCACGGATAGAGTTTTGCGCCAAACATGGACTCAACGCGCGTCTAATGCAAGCCATTGTTGATCAAGACTGTATCGTGCGAATCACGAGCAATATGAACCGGATCATGTCGAAATTTATTTTTGTCTTATACTTTCTGGCAATCCCATGTGTTCAGCTGTTATTATATATGACACATAACAAGGACTCTACATTTTATTTAAAAATATCCATGTTAATTGGGACTGTCATTTTGTTTGCACTGCTTTTCATCATTAACTCATTGTTTGCAATGGTATCGAAAAGCGCTCACAAATGCTATCCATTGTTGTACTCAATACTAATGACTCGTTCACTGAGTTATAGACAGAGATTGAGAATCGAGTCAATGATTAGCCGACTGTCG